TCATGAGCATTTTGTGTTAGCTGGTGTGAATTTCTTTTGTTAACCGGCCATCAGATGTGACATCCTTTTGGCGGGGACAAGGCACCAAAGCCGAGTATTTGGACAATGTTGCCCGTTTCATTTCATCCATACTAATACGGTAAAACTAATCATCTCATAATATCACCTTTGACCGTAGCTCATCCAACGGCTTGACGTGATAGGGTGTGTTTCGGGAACTGATATTGCCGGTCGGTACACATTTTAAGGTCGCGATATGTATGAGAGTTGATTCATTTCATGCTGTGGTTGTGCTTCGTCGAATAACGGCTCGTTCCGAGGTTTTGAACCGCCACTCCTACTAATGATATCAAGCAGTTCGAATATAGACCCCAGCGCTCGACATTAGATGCAGTAGCGTGCCTTGTTCAGTACATCGCGTTTGTATTAGATCAAAGAAGCAAATTCGCACGACTTCTTATTCCTGATTGTTCAAAGGACTTCGAAATCCTGGACAAATCAATGGTGTTCAATCTGCTATCCGAAAACGGGATTCAACCCATCATGTGTATTCTACTACGTTACTATTTTAAAGATCGTAATCACTTTACACGCCCAAATGGTGTCAAATAGTTTTTCCTTCGTGCCGATTGTGGTGTTGTACATGAAGCTACTCTAGCATTTTTCTATTCTCCATATTTGTCGAACGTCTCTCCCGACAACCCACGATTTTGTGCTGGGTTTTATGGAACCCACTATTCAGGATTCCACATTGCTTCTTGGTGGATTAGAAAATCTGATGGAGTTGTCTTCATCACCTACTCTTAACGCTCCAAAACCCTGTGAGGTAGTAATTTTTCTCTTCCTGGAGATAAGCTGCAGTCTTCCAAAGAAATCTCCCGCACACTAACTGTAAGCGAAAATCCCATACCCAGCACATCCACCGTCAAGCATCTCGGTAACACATTGTCCCAAAATCTCTCTTGGTCCAGGCACGTTCGTGAAACTTTTCATAAAGTCAGAAATCTTTTCATGCCCGCAGACTGGAGGAGTTTTAGTAATCCTTACCTTAATATTTCAGTTTGTGATATCATGCATTACCCACCATTAGTTATACTGCCACCCTGTCGTCTTTCATGGACTGCTTCAAAATAAATAAATAAATTTGTATATTTGTATATTTACCGACGGACGGTACACGGCCCCATAAGTGGGAGCGATCATTATTGGTACGGTCGAAAAGTAGATTTCGAGAGGTCACGGTTGGTCTACAGAGGCTTCATTTGACTCGATCATTTCTAGACATACTGCACAATGACCTTGCAAAAACGCTATCATTCTCTTGTGTTCGAAATTTAAGCCGTTATGCTGCCGCATTTCATCGCAAAGTAATACCGTTTTAGCTTGTCTGTCAGGTTTGCTCGTTGGCGCAATGAAAGGCATAAACATGCTGCACAAGCGGTTGCTAGTGACAGTTGGGTACTTGTTTTCATTTATTTCGTTTATGCGCTTTTTACTAACTTGTTACATTCGCAGGGATAGTGTAAATCCTGAAAATGAGTCCAGTTTTGTTCCTAAAGCTTATTTTGACGCAGCTAACCTAGTTTGCACAACACTTGCACGTTTAAAAACCGTATCACTTTTCTTGATACCTCATCGGTATAGCTATCTGCCCACTTTTGGACAACCACTAGATCCGTTCAGTTAGCATGGCTGATTGAGTGTAGTTAGCTCAAGCATCAAAAGATGCGCTATTTCAACAGGATCTTGGATTTATATTGCTGTAAAAGCACGATTATTTGTATGTCATTTTTATAGCTCAGCAACCTAACGTTCAAGCAGCAAACATATCCAGAAAGCTTAGTAGTTTCACTAGTTTGAGGTCAGCCAAGGAGTATGCAGGAAAAACTCATGGGAAAGTTACCGAAAACAAACTCGTAGCCATCGAAACCGTTGCGGCATTCCAGCCTCCCCCTGGCCCCAACAGCCACATCGACGCGTGGATATCTCCACCACATGCTACATCATCATGCCTCCGCTACCGTATGGCAAACAAGACTACCAATAGCCAGAGTGAATATGTGACCTTCGCTTAAACTGCCGCATGTGGTTACAGCCCTTCTGACCATTTTGAGACTAGGGCCGATCTAGTACACCTTGTGTTGCGGAAGTGGTTCCAAGTGGATCGGAATATCACGCATGAGAAAATTGCGGGATCACAAATGAGAAGAAAGAAGACAAACCTCAATAGATCCATTGTAGACAGGGTTGTCATTACCGGTTGAATAATGCGACAATAGTATATATGCTTCCCACGGGTTTAGCGAACACTGATCTGTCGAACGTCGCTTTGTGAAAAGCAATCCGAAGGGTGTTCAACCTGATATCATACACAAAACACTGAAAATAACCATGACCACGACGCTCATAGTCAACGCATACGCGACTCTTCAATGTGAACATTTACGTAATGTTAAAGTCTACACATGCGGAAGTAACGCTAGTCTGCGAACGCAATAATGACTCTTGGCCGAACGACGTAAAGACAACAGAACGCGTCTAGCTGGCCGCGTGCAAATGTGTATTCTGACCAGAACGGGTACAGAGAATCGATCAAATAAATGAAGCCAAGCACTCGTGTGAGTAATCGATAGACAGACAGACACACGGGCAATGCTGGTGTGAACACTGACTGGAGATGGTAACTCATACGCCACAGGTAATCACTAGTTTCAGGAACAAAAGTTACTACCATTTCCCAGTAAGAAAGCAATAGTTAAACTCGCTTTAATGAGTTAACCTATTCGAACCATTGTGAGATTATAAACGTATTACCCACGTACGCCGACAAAGCATGGCATCGTACACTCTTCAGGAGCAGTACGCTTTTGAGACAGTGAATCGCTATGCAAGTGTGTCTGCTGACGAACTGAACTCAACCGAATAAGACCAACAGCACAATTCAATCGAATTGACGAGAACTCCTGCGAACAGCAACGCTCCCGGTTCTTCATTGGTGCGAATATTTAGGAACAGAAAACTGATCCATCAGCAATGAATAGTCAGAATCCTGAAGGGAAGCAGAGGGTGTCGTTGATACACATTTATCTAACTGTTCATTCCTGGTCTTCAATCTGCTCGGTTATGATAAAGGTATAACATTCCAGCTTCATGTTGGCTAACGGTGTCGGCATAGGATTTTTAGAGCAGCAATAAAAATAATGATATACTTGTGTAACCGTTCATGACTGCATACATTCGTTTTGCACTGGTGGTTCACTGATGCTTGTTTTAACGTATCATTCCGTTATCCCTCATGACTTTTTGAATCGTTCATGTTGCCTTCAGATCGCAGCCCTATTCTGACGCTAACACTCAATTTTCCGATCTTTGTGTGCAACTAATTGGTTTCTTATTTGCTCAGTTTTCATTGGCTTTACTTGTCCGCATGCTTTCCGTACTCTGGTTGGCTTTCACGCTTGTGCGTCATGCTATATAACGAAATGGTTTCCCTATGTAAAAGAACACTGCTGTTCTTGTCCCAGGTCTTTCGTGTTCTCATTATCTTTAGTGCGTGGAAGTAGTCGCCGGGCTCGGACACAACAAGGATGAGGATGCTTGAGCGCTAAGTGTAAGGTAGCTGTGACAAAATTGTGTGCAGGACTCCGTCTAGGGATGCGTATGAAATCGCCTACTGTTCACTGGCCCAATATTGAGTGCACATCTAACTTTTAATAGCCCAATTATTTGCAAATGACTATTTGCGAATCAGGTAGATTACGAACATAACCGTGTCACTTATTTCATCGCTACAACTTGCCTATTTGGCTTTGAAATTGCAGTGCGCCTTGTCACATTTTTTATTTGATTTGTGCTTAAATCCGCATGAACGGTCCGAACTAGTGTAAGTAGCTTAAGGAATTCTGCAGACTCATAAGTCTGTGGTACAATTATTGCCTAAGGTGGTTATATCGACAGATTCGCATATATTCCAGTAACCCGATGTTTGTGGATAATGCAATATTGTTAAGGCTTTCATCCCAATAGCTCACAAGTGGAAGATAGGTGGTGCTATGTCCCAGTTAGCTTGCAAATTATGTAGCCCAAGCCAACATTCCCCATGGCTCGGTGGCTTAAGCTGCTGGCTAGTTAACATGTGCCTCTAGCGGTCACGGGTTCGATCGCCAGTAAGGGACCGAGGGAATGCGCACCATTGACGAGCCCCAATAGGGCGAAACGCGTCTGGTGCTTTTCCGGACTAGGTTGTGCTATGTAGCTTGTGAGCTACTGGGATGAACGCCTTAACAACATTACAACTAAAATCCTGCTACTCGCGGATAATGGAATCACCAAATTTGAACCTTTGGGTAATCTATGACTAGATGAATTGGCAGATAACATTACAATGGAATCATCGAAATACAGATCAGAGTATTTAGAGCGCACACACACAAACAAGCGGACAAAACTTTAGGGAGGTATACGGTGTTTGCTGCGGGGTGAATCGCAGGCCACTCAGAATGCTAGAAGGGTAACGTGCAGTCTAAGAATGGTCTGGTCATTACTTGATCTACAGATCGAGTTAAAGTGAGGAACTCGTCGTGGAACCCATAGGGCTGTGATCCACAGTTTTGGGCTCATTCATCGGAGTAGGAAAAAATGCGAGAATAAACAGGCCTACTCCTTTCACTTACAAAGAGGAACAGTACAGTCATACTTAGAAATGATGGTTCCTACTTAGAAGTCGTATACCGCCTGTCGGTAAATATATTAATTTATTTATGTTCAAGACAAGAACATGTTGCAGTTAAACATAGATAAGGACGCTGCGTTCGGCCAAATCGAACCCTGTTTTGTGTAAGAGACCTAGGTAATGCAGCATTTTGGTACATTTTCAATGAGCTGCTGTTACTTTGGTTGATTGGGCACTTCGGAATCCGTCAGCCACTATGTTCTCAGCCCAGCACGCTTATCCAGGCCTACAACTAAGCATTCATGTAAATCTGAACAAACAAACTCACCCGGTCGGAGGCAGTGGATGTGGTTGATGATGCCAGAATATTTGCAGCCAGTGTAATCGCAGTTCTCACATTTGATATATTTTCGGAATCCATCCTTCGCGAAGCTGTCGTTCTTCTGATGATGCATTTTGTGTTTGTCTAAAAGGTAAGCAAACTCAGGTGAACAAAAAACACTTAGATTCTACTGATCGGTCACCAGTGAACTGCATCATGAGATCGGTGTGTTCGTGTTTTGAAGCGGAGCGAAAACCGGCGCATACAGAGATATTGGACTAAGGCCTGTCAAGTTCTAGAGCATAAATGAGAAATCTCAAGGAAACAAGCATTCTTCGTGCGCTGTGTGACAGATCGACGGATGGACTTAAGCATGCCCTAGAGAAATAAATGGGGTATTTCTACTCAGCCCTTAAGTGGGTCGCACAACTGAGTCAAAACAGTGACCACGGTACGAGTAGTCACTTACGCTCAGCGCTAGCCTCGTTAAGTGTTAGCGTAATGTAAAGTGTCATGACGTCACCGTCGCTGAGCTTGCCCAAACCAAGCGGCCGTTCAAGTTGGTTGAAACTTCGAACTGTCTGTGAAACTAAGTACAATTTCCCTGTTGGATTGCAAAAGAAACGGGTCAGAAGTAACACTCGTGCGTCACATAACTGGGAAGCGCAGCTCGCAAAAGACATTGAAACCTGCTCCTCAAGTGAATTTGCCGGAGTTGAAGACTAAGATCCGCAATCTATAGACCGTCTATCAACCAACGCACTACAAAGATCGCCGTAGCACGTTCGTTGCAATGCCTTGGACTCATGCTAACGCTTTGAGTCCAAATTGTGTGCAATCCATTGCCACAACAGCGTTTGTAACCGCAACCACAACATAATGAAAGTAACAGTTTCTAGCTACTTTAGGAAACCAAGTAGTGAAATAACATAATAAATACTCACCCATATCTGATTTATTCTTGAAAGTGAAACGACAGTTTGCACGTCGGCAGTGGAAGTGCGTGGTGCGTTCCTCGTAGAAAGGACAAGTTTGAACCCCACAGGTCTCCGAGGCTCGAAATCGCTGGAATCCTTCCTGGATGATCACAGCATCTTTGCGATGAAAATTTGCGTGCATTTGGACGTCTGATGTACTTATGTACACCTAAAAGTGCGAAATGCGGTGCATTGTGGAATGAATTGATGTGGAGAAGTATTTTTGTAGAGTTTCTAAATCGATAGCGACGCTTATAATTATAAACGTCATTGTAATCGCAATAAAAATTCGATATGGACTGCCCCGCATTGTTCTAGCTTTTGTTTAGATGCCACTGTCAATGAGCAATAAAACCGAACACTTGTGCAAGGGTAATGAGGGTTAATAAGGATGACCCAGTTTCATTGTGCTTCTGAGTAGATTGCTCTGTAATGATTGCAACTTTCGAGTCATCCACCCCACAAAGCAGCAGAGTTCAGTGCATACTCTGGATAAACAGACTCATGACCTACAGGGTGAACAAATGTACACTGGTCTCGAGAGTGCACGACAATGCGTTTTCTTTTAAATGAATCAGTATAAGCATTATCGTGGGATGTCAGCATCTTCTATTTCTCTTGTTAACAGTGCATCGTGGGACCCGCCTTAGTCATGCTCTTCTTTCATTTAGCCGTTGAGTGGCGCTCTTATTCATCGTTCCTTCAGCGGCCAGGATTCTTGGGGTCCGTAGGTGACTGGCCTTCAGTAGGGCAACATTGCAAGGTGAATAATATGAATATGAATGACCTACAAACCTGTAGGTCAGAGCTTTGTACACGTTGCTTACCTCCTCTGGACACACGTAAGTTACGAGATCTGAGAAACATGCTGTGGTTTGCTAGGTTCCTTAATACAATCTAAGGGTTGAAAACTGCCAAAGGTGGCTAAAATGGTGGGTGCAAACTGCACTGATCCTGAGTAACAATCATGTATCACAGACTTTATTTATTCATATTTATTTATTTAGGGAGGGGGCAGCATCCCGTTCCCTAGATCCTTGTCGTTGCGGCCTCCACAGGACGCTTGCACCAACAGAGGGACCATGGGTGGCTTGCGCTGCACCACCCACAGCTCCATCCACACACCCCATATCCAGTGTAAACCCGAAGGAATAAGACCGGGAGACAGGTGGATGGGAGCCACGTTTCATCAACGGAGCCGGCCCACACTCCTTCACAGGCAAACACAAGCACGCTGTAGTTGGGAACCAATCAAACCAAGGCGGTGGCTGGACCGAAATCCGCTCCACACTGAGTGCATGGAACCACTCTTCGAGCCTAGCACGGCCACAAGTACTGTGTATCCTGTCCCTTCCAACAACAACAAACTGCCTCCTGGAGGCAGTATGGACGAGGTAGTGGGTAATAGACAGGTAGGCACCTTGTCAACATGCACATCAAGCGCAGCCACACCGGGGATATCAAGCAACAGCCAACCACTTGAAAAGACGATATCAACTATAATAAATCGAATAATGCATACAGATACGGTGACATAACTCTTCACCAAATCAGCATCTGAGATAAATTGGTTAGGAACAAATGCGCGATAATTTCAAGACGTCAGAAAATATATTTTAAGAAAATGCCACAAACGCGAAAATGTTATCGAAGTTAAACAAAGTACTTTAAGGGACGTATGCAAGTTTACAGAAGGTAGTTCAGGTAGTCCTTAATAAGATAATAGCATTAGGACAATATAGAAGACCCACTACCTGAAATAAAGAGACTCAGCATGCAAGTATGCGGTTAGTAAATCGAATGCAGCGTGCCTACAAACGCTGCGCCGGTTCTGCCTACGTCCCATGCAGGACCTGACCTCGTTTCGCTGTTAGCCCCGAGTGGCGTCGCTCATGGCTCACTAGGCCTGCCTGACTCAGGCACTCGCGACCGCATGTGCTACAGCACCATGCGCTCGATGTCGATGGTGTACAACCCATCGGCGCCTACCGCTTCCGCAATTGCCGCTTCTTCTCTGCGTGCACGATGGATTTCTCTTGCACCTCGCCCACGGACTTCGTGATCAGATCGTGCCATGCACGCTGATCAACCAACTTCGGTTACCATGACCTGCAATCAAGATTAGAACGTGAGAGGCTCACTTTGATCATGTGCTGGTAACATAACTTTAGTTTCCACACATGCCGCTTCCCAACACTCAGCTGATCATATAATAGGTGCTTCGGTATCCGCATCGAATCCATACGCCACACATGACCGAGCCACCACAGATGTCTCAGCAAAAGTATACAGTCCACTGCATACATCCCACTATGGCGCAACACTTCTGTGTCAGCAACTCAGTCGCATCAACCGATGCGCAGAATCCGTCGTAACCACTGTTGATGGAACCGCTCGAGATATCGCACATCCTGCCGGTAAATCGTCCACGTTTCGCCGCCGTATAGAATAACGGACAGCACCATGGATTTGTACATCATCAGCTTCGGGCCAACGGTAAGCTGATGTTTGTTACACACTCGGTACTCAAGCTTCCCGAATGCCGTCGCTGCCTTCGATACGCGGCTAGAAAGCTCACTGCGTATCCGCTGGTCGGCCGACACCACATTCCAAAGGTAGCAGAAGCGGGAGGTGGTTTCCAATACGTCATCACCAATGCTTATTTACGGAAGCATTGTAGATTGCACCTCCGGTGAAGGCTGAAAGAGACAGACAGTTTTGCTTGTGTTGAGGGTGAACCCGGATTTGGTTGCTGTCGAAGCCAGAGCACTAGTCATGTGCTGCAACTCATCCCCGCTGTGTGTAAACAACGCACAGTCGTCAGCAAACAGCAACATACGGATAGTTGTCTCACAGACTAGAGTTCTCGCACCGAAATGACGGGTGTTCAGAAACCCACCATCAGTACGGTGCTCCACATGAACACCGTAAGCACAGGCGGCATCAAAAGCACAGAGCAACTTTGCATGAAGATATATATTAAACAGGACAGGAGCTAAGACACAGCCTTGCTTCACACCAGTGACAACTGCAAAGTCATCCGAGGTCTCTCCACTCAGCTGCACCCTCGCTCGCATACCACTGCGCAGACATTCAATTAAACTTACAAACTTACTCGGACAACCAAACTTACCCGACACCAGCCACAACGCCTCGCGGTCCACCGTATCAAAGGCCTTGGTGAAATCAACGAAAAGCCAATGCAACGGCTGGTGTCATGCTCTACACTTCTCCTGCAACTGACGAGCCGCAAACACCATATCTATAGTGTTGCGAGCCAAATGGATTCCACACTGCTCTTCCGCCAACCTGACTGACGATGCGGTTGAGCAGGATTCGGGCAATCACCTTGCCCACACAACTCTGCAAGTTGATACCATGATAATTCGCGCAACACTGCTTGCGCCCTTTGCCCTTGTACTGTGGGAGCACAAGGGCATCCTTTAGCTCAGGAGGCACTCCCTCCTCAATCCACACGCGTTGCACCAAGTGGTGCAGCGCAGTCACCAACGCAGGTCCGCCATGTTTCGATACTTCAGTCGGGATCCCGTCGGCACAGGCACACTTGCCGTTTAGCAGCTGAGCAAGTGCTTTCTGTGTCTCATCCAGTGTCGGCGTGTCCGGCAGACTCACTTTCACATCGTGTTGCTTGATACCGTTTAACGTAGGCCAGTCGATCTCTGAACGATTGTTAAAGAGACAGTCAAAGTGATCTGCATTATATCTGCAGTCTGTGTGCAGCTAGTATCTGAACTACCATCGATCAGCGTCTTCAGCGGCTCCAACACCGCCTTCAAGGAGTCAAAGAATTCCTTCTGTTGGCGGCGTTCGGTGTAGCATTCCATCTGCTTCGCATTTTAAATGCGACGGAGCTCTTGGGGCAGTCGTCCTCGAATTCTGAAAAACTTACTCTTCTTCCCCAAGTCACTGGGGTCTGTCATATGTGTAGGCAATGCTACATTGTTCTCATCAAACCAATCAGGCCGCTTATAGTTTGCGCGCCCGATGGTCTTACTCGGCATCAGCTGTCAACCGGTCGCGATTGCAGTGCCACAGGTCACCCACTGTGGCTATGCATTCCACATCACAGTCGTTCAGCTATCGCCTTCTCCAGCTCAATACGTTTCTCCACAGTACCGAGGAAGAGAATGTTAACTTTACGCCGGTTCGCGACTGGAGTGCAATACATAGATTTGTGCAAATAAAGATACAGTTTGATCCGCACTGATTTGTGGTCAGTGCCAAACTCAGCTCCACGCAGTGCGCGTGTCACGCGCACTTCACACATCTCACACTGACATACGATGACATAGTCGAGCAGGTGAGCGTGACCACTCCGTGCGTGCGTCCAAGTTGCTATATCACTCGCACTCAGTGCAAACCGAGTGTTCGTGATCGTCAGGCCGTGAGTGGCACACAGTGAGAGCAGCCTGTCACCATTCGCATTCGCTGAACCAATGCCATGCGGACCGATGCCATCTGTCCACACCGCTGCGTTATGCCTAACGCGCGCGTTGAAATCACCCAGCAGAAATGGTCGGTCGCTCCTCGGCACAGACCGTATCACGGAGAATAGCTGAGTGTAGAATTGATCACGCATATCCTCAGGATAACACATGGTCGGACCGTACGTGCTTATAAAAGTGGCAAACTTACCTCTTCCGAGTCGTAGGCGAACAGTCATCAGTCGCACAGTGATGCCTGTTGGTTCACCCACGAGCTGGCTATGGAGACGAACGGATATTGCAAATCCGACCCCATGTTCACGTGGTGCTGAGGCGGCGTTGCCCACCCAGTAGAACGTGTAGTCGGCCCCTGCTTCATGCAACTTACCTTGCTCAGCAAGCCGAATCTTACTGAGCGCCGCAATCTCGATGTTGTAGCGCGCCTGTTCCATCACGACCAGTGCAGTGCGTCGCTCGGGGTACTCACTGGAATTCCGGTCCATTAGTGTGCGCACGTTCCAGCACCCGATGCTGAGTGCTTTGCGCGCAGGCATACAGTCGCATTGGTGGGCAATCGCAAGCGAGATGGCGGTTGTGCTCCGGAGGTTTGCTTGAGAGACTCTACCCAAAGCCTTGGGCTCCATAGCCTGACCCACAAGGCAGTGGGTGGTTTGGAGGTTTGTTTGAGGGACTCCACCCGGAGCGTTTGGTTCAGTAGCCTGAC